AGAGAGAGAGAGAGAGAGAGAGAGAGAGAGAGAGAGAGAGAGAGAGAGAGAGAGAGAGAGAGAGAGAGAGAGAGAGAGAGAGAGGGGGGGGGGGGTCAATTTCGACAATTTGTCAATTTCACCATTTCAGTGGTTGGGTATACTGCAATTTTGTGGTCCCAAACAACCCACCCGAGACGCTGGGTGTGTGGAGAATTTGAAACACGCAAAAGTAAAGTATAAGGACGCCCTCGCGACACATCACTCTCATCACGACAGATAGAACCAGAAGCTGCAGCTCGTTGATCGGCAACCTTGGATCAAAAATAACTTGGAAGTTCTGAAGCTGCAAACAGCTCGCATCTCGCTCAGAGTCGTCCAGGACTCGAGGCCAAGGATTGCTCGCCACAGGGCGAAGGGTGAAATCTCCGGCCCGTAAATGAGAACACATCTCAATCGTCCAATCGGGCAACTCCAGCAACTAAGCAAGACGACAAATACTAGGGTAGTAGGTAGAGATCCGTGGCAAAGCCCACGATATAATTGATCAGGCCTTCTGGGGGAACTCTCTCTGAAAAAGTTATGGGGCGAAGAGCAGCACACTGTATTTCCTGATTTATGCGTGTCATCCTTGCGCAGGGCCCATGCCAATCTTCTCTCTCTGTATCGTTCCCATTTTTTAACGCATGCAGCTATTGGCCAGGGGCATCAAGCGACAGGGGGGAATGTCATCACAGCCACAGACAGGAGGAGTGGCACCATAGCTGGGAGATTAATAGCTTATTGACAGCAGGAGGAGCAGGAGGAGCAGGAGGAGCAGGAGGAGCAGCCGCGTTATAAAAAAATGAAAAAATGCTTTGAAGGAATTGTTACAAACGATATTCCGGACTGCTTGGTGATAATGAATGCAAATCAGAATTCCATGGCCATACTTGAAGCTAGTCAATTACATATACCGATTGTGTGTTTGATAGATTCAGATATTCCAAGCAAACTACAGCAGGAGTAGCAGGAGGAGCAGGAGGAGCGGGAGAAGCAGGAGGAGCAGGAGGCGGCGCAGGAGCAGGAGGAGCAGGAAGTTAGGTGGAGCAGGAAGTTATTGCTTGGAGGAAGAGAAGAAGGTGGGATATGATTTAGAGGCATGTGGTCCCGGCCCACTCTGGTAGCCTATACTTTAATCAATAAATCAATGTTGACATACCTTCATCATTTCTTTGGACATCTCCTGCATCGTCTTTGCAATCTCCGGCGCTTTCAGCAGCCCATTAACCAGCTGCATCACCTCAGTGCTCTTCTGCAGATGCCCAACGACTCGTGCAGTCGCTGCACGCACCACAACAGCAACATTCACAGCGGTAGCATAGTCATCACCACAGGTCCACAGCCCAAAAAAAGGAAAAAGAAAAAAGAAGAAAAACAGAAAAGAAAAGGCTTACTCAGATATACGCACCTCAATATCATCTCACGGACTGGCAACTTATATATATGTTGCTATGAACCACACAGTTCATCACCAATGAGTGCATACATAGAAATGCATCAAGCACAAGTGAGATGACACGAATTTCCACACTGGGTGCCAGAGAGTCGAAAACCAGATAGCGCAGCTTATAACCTCCAAAAAATTATCACAAGAGCAATAAGAGTTCAAGTCACCAGAGCTCATCAACGCATACAAAAGTAACCAGCATCAGCTCTCAGGTAAGCATTTCTTTGCAGCTCTTCTTCTCTCTCTGTCTTTCTCTCTCTCTCTCACTGGTCTTCTCTCTAGCTATGTCTTCACTGTGTCTTCTCTCCCTACATGCACGCACAATCACTAACTACTAAAGGATCTACTCTGGATACACCCACTGCTATGCCAACTAACTACCACTAGCTAGCACTAACACTCTGCACTGGCGCAGCTATGGCTGCCTCCTCCCTGCCAGCACTATCTCTCCCACACACTCTCCTAGCACAGCATCCTGGCTCAGCGCTCTGCCCCTCACAATAGCGCACAAGTGCACCAGCACTTCTACACTTCATGCGAATGAGCAATCTCCTCGAATGAGAGGCTGGCCACTCCTTATATTGCCTTCAGACTTCATTTGGCTGTCCCAGCCTCTGCTGCAAATGGTCCACTTCCGCCTGGTACCACAGGCCGACGGCCTGTCTGCTTCCGAATGCCAGGGCCTGGTACTTTCCCGAATTTCCTTTGGTAGGGGGCTGCTGCCTGGGCCTGAGAGTCACGACTTGACTTTTCAATTGTGAACATGACTTTTGACTGTGGACTGCGACTCCTGGCCTTGGGGCTCTTGGGACTGTGGACTGTGACTCCTGGCCTTGGGACTGTGACTCCTGGCCTTGGGACACGACTCCTGCCTGGGAAAGTGCCCTTTCGCCTATGGAATATGACTTTCCAATATGGACGTGACTTTTGCTTACGGAATGTGACTGCTGTTCGGGCGCCTGTTCGGACTGCACCCGATCGTGACCTTTCTGAATTGACCAACTTAGCCTCCCTGGGCCTAAGACCTTGACACTGTATCTCGAATTTGGGGTCTGAATCGTGGAAGGCCTTTCAATGTTTTTTTTAAGTCTTAAATAATAAATATTCATACATACATATAGTCAAACAGAGCTGCCCGGTAGACCGTAGGCAGAGAGGGAGAAGAGGACAACAAACGAGGGGCTGTGGCAAACTGTTCCGTCGGAGTTTCACCGACTCATCAGGAGGCTGAACCCTCGACAGCCTGCAGAATCCCCTAACTGATGACACTGTAAATGATAATCCACCTTAACCCGGGCTGTGGTTAAGCATCAACGACTGCCCGACAACTGATACCCTGAGGTGGGCACCAACCACTGCCCTCAAGGTACCTGTGGCAAAAGTCAAAGCAGACTATCACTCACCCACACCACATGGAAAACTCTACAGACTGTCGGTTCACACCCCATCACAAGCAAGCAAAACACCCATGAAACAATATATATATATATATCGTCATATATCGTCAAATAGAACTGCCCGGTAAACCGTAGGCAGAGAGGGAGAAGAGGACAACAAACGAGGGGCTGTGACAAACTGTTTCGTCGGAGTTTCACCGAATCA